GATTACTCGGCCATCTGACTGCTAGTCACATGTGTCCTCCCTGTGTGGCTCGCAGCACAGCATATAGAGGCGGGCAGCGTGCTGCGATGTTGCCCGAACAGAATTATTAGCCTCGCAGGGTGCGTGCAAGCGACTAACAGTCAGGGTCACAGCGAGTCAAATGGTCGAGTACTCGTCGCGCCAAGCATCGACGACGATGATGCAACCAGGGCCATTAACGACTGTCATGTGCTCGTCAGATCGATTATGACCCTCAGCGTAGGCAAGGTCATGTTTAACGCGGTGGTTATTCAATAATAATAATAATAATGTCACCTTTAAACTTGAGAAGGAAAATCAGGGACGGGAATTAACAAAAATGAAAGGTTTTGGACATCGCAGCATCAGAGATGGGCGATTAACTGTACAGCCCGCATTGTAGGGACTCTGGTTGGGAATGACCAGCGTACACACACAAGCACTTAACATATGAGATGTAGTAAATTGCGTTTGTCCGTTGCTCTATATAGATGGACTCCTTTACTTAAGATACCGCTGTGAAGATGCCGGTCTGTAGGCGCTGCGGTTGGGCGATCACTTCAGAGATTCTGTACACATATAAGGTAGATAGTAAAATGTATGCGACACTTCCGTCACATGGACTGGAGCCTTTTGCTGTGTCTGAAGTTTGAAGCAGTTCCTCACAAAGCTGATCGGATATCCATTAGACCAAAACAATCTTCACTGGCCAGCCAGTTCTTCCATAAGCAGATAATCCCTTGTAAGTTAGGGATCGGCTCGGTCGAGGGGTATGGACGTTGCTTCTTTTGTGATGTCGGAGTTGGCTAAATCCATAATTTAGTTAGGTATCAGCATTATGCCCTCTCTCATGTAAACGCTTGCTGTAAAGTTACCACTTAGTTGCCTTTGTATACTGCCTCTTGATGAGTAAATTGTATGACTTGAAGGCATCGTTCAGCCTTTGACGCAGTCTTTCGACATGACATTTTTATGACCAAAGTCTCATTTGCGTATTAGAGCTACATTTTTTGGTTTGAGTATTTAAGTGGCATCATCCAGTCGTTTTAAACTGTGTCAGCGAGTCGTTCGGATATTAGCATACCTTTAACCTGTTTGTAGTTCGACCATCGATTTCGTTATTTCTCATAATACTGTGGTTTGGTGTGAGATTACTCGAAAATAAAAGTAAATTGCTACTAGTTTTGCCAGTAGTAGTTGTGATTTTGGAACTTCTGACGACAAATGTCCAGGTGAACACCAAGCTGCTCCTCTAGCCTTTATTCTGCGGATCACGCACAACGTGCGTCTGTCTGTATAGATGACCGTATGGAAACCTTTGGGCTCACTCTCCATTGGTTTATTGCCAGTCGTACATCTTGTTCTACTATCACCAGTTAGAACGCCTCTTTTGAAGTGCTTCATTTTCTCTTTTGCACCCTCCTCTTCCTCCTATATGTGCGCATCCGTTTACTTGGATTCTTTTCATTGCATTCAAATCATTCTATATGTATCTATGATTTCTTCCCCTTGTAGGGCTGCTGACTCCAAGCCCAAGTACTGTCAGAAGTGCCTTCAGGAAGGCCATTGGACATACGAATGCAGAGGTAAACGCAAGTATCTCGAACGCGAGACAAGAACCACGCGTCTAAACAGAAAAATGGAAAAAATGGACAAGTATTTCAGCTCTTTCTCCTCATTCGAAACTTTCTTTTAGAAAGGCCTCAGATTCCAAACATGCCAGAAGAGAACGTTCTTCGTCATCCTCCTCCTCTTCCTCCT